TTATTATTATAAATAAATACTTACTATCGTCGAGATAAAGCGCTGCATTGGACCGACTGACCGCCGACACATTCACCTCCATGATCAGTGAGCACTGCGGGGTGGGCAGTTGGTACAGCACTCTCCACGGCCACTCGCCACCGCCCACGTAACTGGTCAGTACCTGGGGATGAAGCACAGACGAAAGTCGAGGCGTCGGTAGTCTTGTGGTTAGGCTATCTGGACCCATGGTCGTGAGGTCGTTTGTTTTTGGGGTTCGAGGTTTAGTTCAGTCCGACGTTGTCAGCCCTTGAGAAAGGCACTTTGCACGAATTTTCCTTAACAAGAATTTTCCCAACTGGCGAAGTCGTTTCGGAGACGGAAGATAAATACCATATATATAATGGCAATCGTGTCTCTTAAAAATGTAATAAGTTACTCTTATAGTGTTTTAAGACGCGTCAGGCTTATACAATTTACCACTTTAAATTAAGAGGAGTCTTTTTGCTGTTACCTTTGAAGTGGGTGTTTATTCTACAATGGTAGCCAAAAAAAAAAAAAAAAAACCATTAAAAAAACAACAACAACAAACAATCAAAGCTGCTTTCTCCTTGGAATATTTGTTGTACCCCAATTTTATGAAATACACACTAACATAAACAAACACAGGCATAACACCTGCTAAAACAAACACACCCGCCCAAACCGAAATACAGAAACAGACAAACTCACACAGGCAGACATGTACACACACACACACACACACGCACACACGCACACACACACGCTGTCTCTCTCACACACACATGCACACATGCACAACACACACACACACACACACACACACACACACACACACACACACACATACACACAAACACACACACACTCACCCAACAATGGAAGCGATTGCGACCGTCCAATCCTCGAGTGATGAGAAGCTGTTGAAGAGGTACCGACTCTTCCTTGATATAGGCCAGACACTGAAACTCTGAGGACGGGATCGATTTCTTAATTAGTATTAAATTAAACCTTAATGTGGAACCCCTCGCCTCCACCACCCCCTCACCCCTTTTCATATCTTCGAGCATCACAATAATCGCAGCCTGCCGCTCCCTGTTCCCCTGATACCTAATACCTGGTGTTCATTGGCATGATCGGTTCGGTTTGGTCGTCGGGGCTGGCTAGATTTTCCTCAACGGAAAAAGGAAAGCAAGCTATCATCGTGGCACAAACCGAACGAAACCGACTATGACCTTCTAGAACACGCACGTTTGTTTGTTCTCAAGGCCGTGGGTCGGGCGATCGGTTTGAGTCAGGGGTCTATAAAAGAGTGCTCTGAAGCTGCCACAAACGTAACGTAACCGAACCAAACAGAACCGATTCTCTAATGGGCACTGCCAAAGAAACCTTATTGTGACCTCCATTGTGACCCTGGACGTTGAGCACAAAGTCAAGAGGGTAGGGGTGAAGGGAGGAGGGTGGCCCTTGGGTTGGGGGGAGGGGGGGATATACTTCACTATAACTGATTCTGTAGTCTGCGCAAATTCTATGCGATATCTTGAAAAAAAACTAATGAAGACCTGGATTCTTTTCAGTTAGCTTAAAAAGACAAAAAGGTTTTACAAATTGGCAGAACAATAAACCAACAAAAGAAAAGAATAGATTTTATGCCGGCCTGTAACGTCAGTCTTGTATTGCATGAATGGCCTTTGACTAATACATTGGAGGCTTTTTGAAAAGGATAATAATGTGACTTTGTAAATTGCAAGGCTTGGGTCTTCCTATCGTGCGGATGAGGGGTGGGGCCGTTAAAAAGCGCTAAAAAAGTTAAAACTGTAGTCTTTTATGCAAACAGTAACACCCCCCCC